AAATAAAACGCCAAGACCATCTTCCTGTGTGCACCAACAAGGGCTGCAAGCAGAAAAGCTCTGAAGCAGAGGCTATAAATACCCGGGAGGCTTGGAGCAGAGGCCCAGCTGACTCCCCCCTGCCGCCCACCCTGCTGTCAATCAACTCCACCAGGGCCTGTGAGCCTGGCTTCTGGCTTCCCTCCTGCCCCTGCCAGGATCCTGGGCTCCCGCCTCAGGAATAGGAAGAAACAAACGTGCTATTCTAAGCCACACGGGCGCGGCATCTTCCACTGGGCTCCTGGGCAATGCCACCTGACCACAGAGTGACCCTCTCCCACCTGCAGCAGGTCTGGCTAGGCTCTCTCCCATCTCTCCCCATTCTCCCCAGCCCCACAGCAGGTGAGAAATCCCAGCCAGCTGGGAAGCCTGGACCTGCCCAAGCCGATCACCCACAATCTCAGCCTCCAAATCCTCTGCAACAAGGTCAAGAAGCCCGGTGGCTGGAGCCCAACCTGAGGCCCGGTGCCCAGGGACCTTCTGCTCAAGGGGCCCAGCCTAAGGCCCGGTGCCCAGGGGTCTTCCACTCAAGGGGCCCAGCCAGATACCCTTTCTTACTCCTCAGGGGCAATCCACACTAAACCACCTTGCAAAGCCTAACCCCACCACAGCCCACCTGAAGCGTCCACAACACCCAGTGCCCCTGTAACCCAAACACCAGTTCCAACAACTGCGCATCCCGCCTCACCTGCTGTGCTCTAGTGCTCCCAGGGTGAGGCCTGAGGAGATGGGTCCAAGCCCCTCGTACCTACTATGGTACCCACGAGGTCAATCATTACTAGTGCAATGAACGCTACGCTGGCTCCATCCTTGACACCCTCAGCTTGGAAACAGGCAGCAGGGGACAGTACAGGGGTGAGGGGTGAAGGTGTTTGCCTGACACATGGCTGACCCCAATTCATATCCCTGATATCACATGATCCTTGAGTAAGCCCTGAGAACTGCACCACCAGGTCTGCTCCACCCCCCAAAATACAAACCCAGGAGCCAGAGCAATAGTACAGTGGGTAGGGCACAGACCTGGGTTTGATCCCCGGCACCCCATCTGGTGTCCAAGCTCCAGAAGGAGTGATCTCTGAGGAGAGCCAGGAGTCAGCCAGGTGTGACTCCCCCCCACCCCTGCAAACAAACCAACCTGTAAAAACCCAGACAGCAGAGCTGAAAGGAGCACCTGCCTCTACACAAAGGTGTGATTCACTCTCCATTACCACATAGCCACCAGCTTGCTCCACCAGGAATGGCCCTAGTGACCCCCCAGCTCCGTTGGGTCCAAGCAGGCGTACTCCCCAGGACCCTCAAACATGACTCGGAGGACCCAAAGAAGTGAGAGTGCTGAGGACAGAGTGATAGTACAGTAGGCAGGGCATTTGCTTTGCACGCGGCTGACCTGGGTTCGATACCCAGCATCCCGTATGGTTCCCCCCCTCAAGCATGGCCAGAGTAGTTCCTGAGTGCAGAACGAGGAATAACCCCAGAACAAGGCTGGGTATGACCCAAAAGGAAAAAAAGGGGGAGTGTTAAATGTGGCACTTTTTAAAATCTCAGGGCTAGGACGAAGGAGATGTTACTGGGGCCTGCTTGAGGCAATCAATGAACAACAGGAAGACAGTGATACCGTTAAAAGAGCTTATTCTGACGTACACTTGCCCCCCACACACACACACTCACACTCACACACTCACTCACTCACTCCCTATCAGAAGCCTGTAAGCCATGAGAACAGAGCACAAGATGAAAATGCTGAGGCCTTCCTGAGAACCTCAGATTCTGAACATGACACTCAGCAATCTCTGAGTCACACAAAGGCCAGAAGGTTTGGACTTGAAGACAGATCCCTATTCTCAGGCTAAGATCTCACCATGGCAGGAAAGAGAACATGTGCAAACTGGTTGTGGGTGGGAGAGAGAGGTGCCACACCCCACAGTTCTTGAGACCTTGGTTCTCAGACTGGATGTGCTCAGGTCGATACTCAGCAGTGCCAGGAATGGAAGCAGGCAGGTGTTTATCCCTTGACCCACATCTCCAGTCCCCAAACTGGTCTATGAATATTCAAAAGCACAAATTCACCCCTGACCAGCCATAAGGACAGCTCCAAAGTGTGTCTCCATTCCTCTTGTTGCAAAGGTGCCCAGAGACTCCCCATGAGTGGGCAATGAAGGTGAGTGAGCACCATAGGAAAAGTGAGGTTGCAGAAATCACATGCTGGCACCCCTGTGCGGCCCTCTAACCTCCTTCTCACAGAGACCCCAAACCCAAACGTTATTTTCTTTTGTTTTTGAGCCAAACCAGTGGCTCCTCCTGGAAGGGCTCAGGGGAGCATACCGGGATGCTGGAGATGAGACCCAGGTTGAGAATATGCAAGGCAAGACCCCTATTGCTGTACTATCTCTCCGGCCCCCCCAAATGTTTCTGATTTTGTTTGGAAACTCCATCTAGTACTGGACATAGTACCGCAGGCAGGGCGACTGGCCTGCATGCAGCTGACATGGGTGTGATCCCTGGCACCAAACTTGGTCCCCTACGCCCCACCAGGAGTGACTCCTGAGCACAGCCAGTTGACCCAAAACAACTATCTGGAGGCTGTACCAGAGTGCTAGTGTGGTGGCTGCTGTCCCAGAAGTGAGAAACACCAGTCCTCATGGTTCTGGGCCCGCAAAGGGCTTCTGGGTGCGCCTCTCATTTCAGATGGTGATGCCTACAATCAACAATAAAGAGGCCTTGCCCCAACTATCTGCCGAACACACAGATGCTCTTCATGGCATGGACAGTAACACCACTGGGGCAGCTCAATCCAAGCCTAAGGGCCCTCACTTGGACCCCCATTCTGCAACTCAGTCTCTGAGGCCTGATTCAAGGGCTCCAACAAACATGTGCAACCTGACATCCCAGTTTCTAATGCAGAATGGAAGGACTGGCCCAGCCGCACCCTGGCCCTGCCCGGAGTAGGGCAGCTCGGCACCCAGGTGTGTCTCCACTCCGTCTCCTGGGCTCCTCCGAAAGGAACCACCAGCACTGAGCTACACAGCAACGAGACTGCAAACGATCCCTTCTAGTACCTTCTGTGGGGCGTTCTCACCACACTGTCCTTGAGATAACAAAAGCTATTACTCCCCACTGCCCTGCAAAACTCAGGCCTAGATACCTCCACATCTCCTAAGGTCCTAGACTAAAATCAAAAGCTAGGGCCTGAGAGCAAGTACAGGGTCAGGCGCTTGCCTTGCACTCGGCCAGCTCTGGCTCAATCCCCGCACTGCATACTTCCCAGAGCACCACTAGGAATAACCCCATCCCCCCACCCCATACAGAGCCAGGAGTAACTACCAAGCATCACAGGGCATGACCCTAACCCTCCAAAATAACAGCTAAATAAAATACTGGTAGAAAAAGCCCCAGTCCAGTGCCCTCTCCTATAAAAGGTACTAAGAGTCACCCTTCAAACCTTTTTTTAACCCTTTATTACAACTTATGCCCCCAAAACAGTATATTCCAGTGACATGGTTCTTTTGGCCCATAAACATTTTTATTTTTAAAACTTTGGGCTTTTTTTAGGGGGGTCACATCTAGCAATACTCAGGGGTTATCCTGGCTCTGCACTCAGGAATCACTCCTAACTGTGCTTGAGGGACCATATGGAAGCTGGGGATTGAACCCGGATTAGCCTCGCACAAGTGTCCTCCCCACAGCACTCACTCCAGCCTTCGTGCACATTTTAAAAATGCATGACTTTCCACACACTCAATTATATTACTACTAAGACAAATTAAAAATTGGAAAAATTGAACAATGAGTAATGCCCTTGCCTTACCCTGGCTAGCCCAGGTTTGCTCCCCAGCACATTTGCTCCCCGGCAGCCTGCCAGGAAAGATCCCAGAGACCTCCTGGTGGATTCAAGAAAAAAAAAGGAAAAAAAAAATTGTCACCGGTATCCAGAGGAGCCTAGTCCAGCTCCTGTGAAGTCCCGGCGACACGCAAGAGGAGGCGGTGCGCATACTTCCCATGCCCACTCGAGTGGGGGGCACCGGAGTCCAGTGTGCAGTGCCCAGCATCACTCTCGGGCAGGTCTGCGGAAGGAGACGGGGGTAGTGTTGGTCTGGGAGAAGATCCTGGATCGGTGGCTTGTGCTCTTAGGAACTGAAACGCCTCGAGTTTGTGCATTTCCAGGAGCTTCTGAATTATTATCGGATGAGTCAACAAATATCAGGCCGACCCAGCTCCGGCACTGAGCGCGCGAACAAAGCCGGGACCAGGGCCGCGCGCCCCGCCGAAGCCCACCAGAAAGCCCACAGCAGGGCGGAGCGTCCACCGCCCATTTCCCGGCGTGTGGACGGCGTCCAGGGCGGTGACAGCCCGCGGCAGGGGCTGGGGCCGGGCGCAGCGGGCTGAGCTGGACCTTCCCAGGGAGGCCCGGCGGGCCCCTTTGTGCGGACCCTCCCACCCGACTCGCGCGCCCGCCGGCGGCCCCCGAGCCCGGCGACCCGCTTCATCCCGTGCCCCGCCGGGCGTTTCTCGCTGTGACTCAGCCGCGGGGCCGCCCCGGGCCCCGCGACCGCCGGGTCCGACCCTCCGCAGCGCGCGGGGTCCCGGGAAGCGGCTGCAAAGCGCACCTGCGCCCGCACCTGCAACAAAGCGCGGCCCGCGCGCCCCCCGCCCCGCGCCTCACGACCCCGCTCGCCCCCCGTGGCCCCGCCTCATGGCCCCGCGCGCCGCCCCCCACCTAGCGACCCCTCGCGCTCCCCCTGCGCCCCGCCTCGCGAGCCCGCGCGCCCCCCCGCCTCACGGCCCCGCACGGCCCCCGTTCCCCGCGCCCGCCGCCCCCCAGCCTCGAGCCCGCCCGCGCCCACCGCCCCCCGCCTCACGGCTCCGCACGGCCCCCGTTCCCCGCGCCCGCCGCCCCCCCGCCTCGAGCCCGCCCGCGCCCACCGCCCCGCCTCACGACCCCCCCGCGCCCCGCGCCCCCGCACCTATGCCGTAGGCCTTGGCGCAGATCCACTGCAGGTTGGCGGCAATCTTGGCCCGCGCCGAGTCGTAGCGGTCCAGGGGCGCTATGTCCGCGGCGCCGTCGTGCGGGGCCTCCATCCTCGGCCCGCGGCGGCCGCCGGCCCCGGGAGGCCGCAACAAAGGCGCCGCGCCCTCGCCGCCCGAGCCCCGGCCCGCCGCGCCCGCCTCACCTCAGAACCGCCGCCGGCGCCGCCGCCGCGGCAGCATGCTGCGGGCCGAGCCCGGGAGCGGCGGGGCGGGGCCGCGCGGCGCGGGCCGCAAGGCGGGGCGGCGCGGGCGCGAGCCCGGGCGGCGGCGGCTGAGGCGGCCGAGGCAGCAGAGGCGGCGGCGGCTGAGGCGGCGACCAACGGCGGGAGCGCGCGCCCCGCACAACCTGCGCACGCGCGCCGCGCGCCGCGGCCGCCCCGCCCCGCTCCGCAGGCGCACTGCGCGCCAGCCCTCCGCTCCGCCCCCGCGGGCGCTCGCCCCGCCCCACCCGGCGTCGGCCCGCCCCTCCACGCAAGCGCAGTGCGCACCCGCCCGCCTCCCTCCGCAGGCGCACTGCTCGGAGCCCCGCCCCCGCCGCCTTCGCCCCGCCCCCCGCCGCAGGCGCAGTGCCCAGGGCTTCGCCCCTTTCCGCGGGCACCGGGCGCGGGATCGCGCGGAACGCGGGAGGCGGGGGGCGCGGGCGGCGCGGGCGGGTCCCGCACGGTCCATTGTTTGTGCGGGGTCGCTCTGCGCCGCTGCCACTTGCGATCTGAGGCGTCAACAGCCTCCAAGTGCGCTAGAGCTCGAAACCGGCGCCCCAGACCCGCACGGCGTCTGGGGGCCACGCACAACCCCACTTCCGGGGACGCCCCCTCCAGAGCACCGCCCGGAGCGGGTGGCCTCGGATCACCGAGGACGCCCCTCCACTCCCTCCCACCCCCACCCCGCAGAGTCCAGAGCCGGGGCTGTGGGGCGCCCCCTGGCGCCAGGCTGCAGAAATCCGGGGGAGCAGAAGTGCGGCCCCTGGGTGCGGTGCCGCCCCAGGTCTTGTGGCAGTGGCGTGTGGCACTTCAGGCTGGCCCGCTGGGGTGACTGCCCGCCTGGGATAGAAACAACTCCGCTAGAGCTGGGAGCTGACAAGGAGTCGGTGGTGTGCTTAAGCTTTATTGAGATACAATTGGCATCCTCTAAGTTACTGTGATGATTTGGGACTGATAGATGAAAATTGTGAAATGATCATTGTATTAAAGTGAATTAACAGCCCCACTAACGCTGCCTAGTTACCCCGTGTAAGAACATTCAAGATCCACTGTTGGGGCTGGAGAACTGGTACAGACATTGCGGCTTTTGCCTTTGCATGCAGCTGACCCTAGTTGGACACCCAGCGGGCAAAGGATGCTCCCAGTTTAATCCCAGCACCTCCAGGAGTGATCCCTGAGTGCAGAGCAGGGGACAAACGTTGGGTGTTGCCAGGTGAGGCCCCAACACCCCTCCCCCAAGGTTGCCCTGAGTGATCCTTGAAAGCACCACCAGGTGTGGCCCCAAACAAAAATAATCAAACCATGTAGGTTTGTTAGCAACCTACAAACCACAATTATTATTGCAGTTCACAATACAGAGCTGCTAACCCGGAGCCCCAGGCAGTAGGTGGCATCTAAGAAACTCAAATTTACAACTGGAAACTGGAAGCTGGTTCTCTACTGTTTGTTTGGTTTCATACAACGTTGTAAGCAACAGCTTGGTCTTTTCATTGTTGAGAAGGTGTTCAGGGCACGCTGGCTCTGTGCTCAGAAGGGGCCCCTGGCAGTACTGGGGGGACCATCTGCCGTGCTGGGGGGAACAACCCTGGCTTGGCCACCAGCCAAGCCAGCATCTTACCCACTGTATTCTCTCCAGCCCTTGTATTTCCATAATTCCATTTAGCATGATGCCCTTAAGACTCATCCATACCTGGCAGACTGTCTCTTCTGGCTGACCTCATTCTTCTGCCTACAGGTGGGCATGCCCTGGTGGCTTTTGCGAATAATGCCAAACACTGGGGGTGGGTGGTACTTCCAGATCTGACTTCAGCATGCCCTTTGACCGAAGGCCAGAAGGGGGATGCTGGGTCACAGGTCAGCCCATCCTCTTACCCCCCACAGTGCCCCTGGCCTTCCCTTTTCTCACACCCTAACTCTCCTTACCTCTAGTCCTTTGGTGGGGAGTGGGAGGTGGGGGAGGTGGTGTTGAGCCACACCTGGCTCAGGGGCCAATCCTGGCTCTGGGTGGTGCTTGGGGGACTCTGTGGTGCCAAGAATCAAACCCAGGGCCTTACACATGCAAGGTCAGGGTCTACCCCGAGCACATGCCCAGCCAGAGTAGAGCTTTTTAGTCTGATGTCGCCTCCATAGGTTTTTGCTTTTGCTGCCTGTGTATTTCTGAGTCATATCCAAAAAAGTGTCAAGTATGGTGCCCGAGCACCACCGGGAGCCCTGAGCATAAGGCAGGAGTGAGCCCCGAGCACCACCAGGAGTGATCCCTGAGCATGGAGCAGGACTGAGCCCCGAGCACCGCCAGGTATGGCCCAGAAGCAAAAAAACAAATCAAAAGACGAATTGCCAAGATCAATGTCAAGAAGCTTTTCCTGTTTTTCTGTTGGAATTGCGTGATTTGGGGGCTTACAAATTTGGGCGACGTTAGGGGCCACTCTCCGGGAGAGAAGCATTCCTGGCAGTGCTCAGGGGCCTGGATTCCCCCATGAAGGCTCCAGCTGTGTACCTCCTATGCCAAATATCCCCTTTAATTTTCACCTGTCACTGAAGTGACTGCTTCTTCCACTGAGACCTGTCCTTGCCTCTGTGGAACTCAGACTGAATGGAGGCCTGCTGAGGCTTGCGGCTTCTCTTCTGGTACATTCATGTCTTTTTTTTTTTTTTTTTTTTTTTGCTTTTTGGGTCACACCTGGCAATGCACAGGGGTTACTCCTGGCTCTGCGCTCAGGAATTACCCCTGGCAGTGCTCAGGGGACCATATGGGATGCTGGGAATCGAACCCGAGTCAGCCGCGTGCAAGGCAAAGGCCCTACCCGCTGTGCTATTGCTCCAGCCCCACATTCATGTCTATTTTAAAGACCAGTGTCAGTTTGTTTTCTTTTGGGTGGGTGAGGCAGCCAGACAGGTAATGCTCAGGGGTTACTCGTGGCTCTGCAGTCAGGAATCACTCCTGGCAGTGCTCAGGGGACCAGATGAGGTGCCAGGCACACATCCTCCCTGCTGTCCTATCTATCCCCCCCTTGCCATTGCCTTGATTACTGAAGCTTTGTGATATAATTTGGAATCAGAAAGCACAATGGTCTTGACTTTGATCTTCTGGCCCAGGACTGCTTTGGCTATTTGGCATCTAGGCCTGTTTCTCCCTTTCTGTTTAAAACGCTTTTGGAGGCTGGAGACAGGGCTCTGGGAAGAGCAAATGCTTTGCATGCGTGAGGCTCTGGGCTCAATCCTCAGCACAGCCCAAGAGAGGAAAGAAAAATGCTAATGGAATCATATTTATTTATAAATCAGTTATATTCATAACTAATAAATGCTAAAGATAAAGCATAAATTATGAATCCATAATGAAATATAAAATGGTAAGAACTGAACAAAACATAGCTAACTTGGAGGAGTACAGACGTCCTCTTTTTCTTAGTATGGACGTTTCAACCATTGTATACTGATCAGTGAATACAAAATAGTGTGCATTCATTTTTGTCTTTGACAATTTCTTTCATGTCTTAGCTTTTTGTCTGTTTTGGGGATCTCAGCCCACACTTTTGGTGGTTCTGGGACACTCCTGAGTGTCCAGGGGCCATAAGTTGTGCTGGGATCAAACCTGCCTTGTCAGCTGTGTGCCAGACAGGACCCTCAGCCTGTACTCCCGGCCCCTCTCACATCTGGGTGTTAGTGGCCCTAGTTTATAACCAGGTATTTTATTGTTTTAATGTGATAGCAGATTATATTTTAGTTTGGTTTTTCGCTTTTATTTGGTCACGACACCTGGTAGTGCTCAAGGTTTACTCCTGGCTCTGCGCTCAAGGATTACTCGCTCCTGACAGGGTTGGGAGACCATACTGGGTGCTGCGGGTCAAATCCAGGTTGGGAAGGCTGAAATGATAGTACAGCAGGGAGGGTGTTTGCTTTGTAGGGAGCCGACCCAGATCCAATCCCTGGCATCCCATATGGTCCCCTGAGCACTGCCAGGAGTGATTCCTGAGTGCAGAGCCAGGAGTAACCCCTGAGCATTACCAGGTGTGACCCTTTAAAATAAGGCAAAAAAAAAAAAAAAAACACCCCACAGACCTGAATCAGCTGCATGCAAGGCAAGCACCGTGTCCCCCCCACCCCTGCCCCCGGTCCTGTGGTTCTGGCCCCAGGATATTGCACTTTCACAGGCTGTGGGCTGTAAATGGGGCTTCCAGTCTTCTCTGGGTGGACCTGATGGCCGTGGGCCTTGGGACCTTGATGGCCGGCTGTCACACTTTGATGACCCTGCTGTGGCTGCTGCCTGTGTGCCCTGCCCCTTGGAGTCAGCCTCAGCCTTAACAGTTTTCCTAAGGGCTCCCTGGTGTCCTCTAGGATACAACATCCGCTTGAACTTTGTCAAACGTTTTTCTGCATGGAGATGCTCATACAATCTGCATCTTTCATTCTGCTCACTCATATCACAGAGGTTGACTTGTGTGTGGTGACCCACTCCTGCCCAGGCATCAACCCCCTGGCCATGGGGTCTGGGCTTCAGTGTGCTGTTAAATGCTTGCTGGCGTCTTCACTAGATCGATCACTTGACATCCTGTTATTCATTGATTCGCTCGAGCGGGCGCCAGCAGCATCTCCACTCATCCCTGTCGTGTGCCAATGAGCCCAATGGCAAGGAACACGAAGAGTCTCAAATCAATTGTTCAGGGTCTTGACGAAGAAGTCTGACCATCTCATAGGTGGGCGGCCACGTGATCTTTTGACATCCTGTGGAATCCAGTTGGTAATGGCTCTAGTCCAGCAGTCATCTCCAAATCTCATTACGTGTCCAGCCCATCTGATTTTCAACGCCTTGGCAAATGAGACAGCGTCCGATTCTTGACCATTGACGAAGGTCGAAACTTCGGATTCTTTCTCTCATCTGAGTGAAGCGTGATACTTCAAGCATAGCTCTTTCGATTCCTCTTTGGGAGACCCGAATAGCGTTCTCATCGTGTTTGCGTAGGGCCCAGGTCTCTGAGGCGTATGTTAGTGAAGGAAGAACAGTGGAATTAAAAAGATGTGCCCGGAGCCGGAGGTTCCTTGTCCTCTTAGCTATTTTTTCAACGTTCTTGAAGGCGTTCCAAGCCACTCTCTTTCTCCTGCGCAACTCAGGTGCCAGGTCAATCGTCATGTTGACTTCTCGACCTAGGTACACATAACTGTTGCATTCAGAGATGCAATCCCATTGAGAGTGAATGGAACGTCAGGAACGAGACCATTTCTCATAAACATTGTCTTTGTTAGATTCAGCTGTAGTCCGACCCTTCCATACTCACAGTTGAAGTCGGCTAGCATTTGTGCCACTTGGCTGATGTTTGCTGTTATAAGAACGATGTCATCAGTGAAGTGGAGGTGGTGTAGTTGCCGACCATCTATCTTCACTCCTGCCATCTTGTCCAGGCTTTTTACATCAATCTTCACCAGGGATAGTGGCGTCTTCTTTATTTTGTCTTGGGCCCACACTGACAGACCTCCCAGGCTACTCTCAGCTCTGCACTCAGGGCTGCTCCCTGCAGTGCTCAGGAGGACCGTGGGGTGCTGGGGGCTGCTCTCTGCGGTGCTCAGGAGGACCATGGGGTTCTGGGGGCTGCTCTCTGCAGTGCTCAGAAGGACCATGGGATGCTGGGGACCGGACCCCCGTATGGACAGCGTGCTCAGCCCATTTAACATCTTTTTGGCCCTTTGCCTTTGCTTCTTTGGTTTGGGGGCCACACCTGGCAGTGCTCAGGGCTTACTCCTGGCTCTGTAGGCATCACTCCTGGAGGGACTTAGCGGGGGACCACATGGCGTACCAGGTTGGACATATGCAAGTCAAGTGCTCTCCCCACCCCACTGTCCTCTCTCAGCCTTTGTTCTTTCTTATTGTACCTGGTTTTGGGTCACGGGAGCGTCATCAAATTAGTTTACTATTTTGTCACTTTCTTTTTTCTTTTGGGAAGTCCCAGGACGTCCCACACGTGAGAGGAGTGCTCTGCTTCCCAGCCACATCCCTGGCTCGAGTATCATGTTTTGGAACAGCTTGAGAATAGTTGGCATTATTTCTTCTTTGAATGTTTGACCCAATTTATTAAAGAAATCACAGGCCCGATGCTTGCCCTTCTACCTTCCTTCCCCTCCCTCCCGTCTACCTCATTCCCTCCGAGGGCCTCACACAAGCCAGGCAAGTGAGCTCTCTCACAACTACGTTCTCAGCTGTTCTATGTTGGAAGAATTCTGATTTATGAATTCAATATTTCTAGAATTTTAACTTTTTTTTACTTTTTGGGTCACACCTGGCAATGTTCAGGGGTTCCTCCTGGCTCTGCACTCAGGAATTACCCCTGGCGGTACTCAGGGGACCATATGGGATGCTGGGAATCGAACCCGGGTCGGCCGTGTGCAAGGCAAACGCCCTACCCACTGTGCCATTGCTTTAGCCCCTAGAATTTTAACCCATTTCTTCACATTGTTGGCCACACCTGTGTTGTTTAGGGGTTACAGCTGGCTCTGCACTCAGGGATCACTCCTGGCAGGTTCAGGGAACCATATGGGATGTCCGGGAGCAAAGCCAGGTGGGACTTTGTGTGCAAGAAAGCGCCCTTCCCTCTGCACTACGGCGCTACTCCATGGACATTAGTCTTTTGAGACCCTTTGTGTTTCTGTCTTCACGTGTTCTAGCTGACGTTGCCAAAGACAAAGGCAAAACCATTCCTAGTCTTGTCAATGGCCTCTTGGGTTTGACCCCAAGCTGTAATCGCCGCCTCTGGGCTGGGTGTCTTCTGTTCGCTTCTCTCCAGTGTAGGTGTAAAGTCCTGGTGCTCGTCTGAGATCTTTCTCTTCTCAGAAACACCCATCCTAGAGAAGATCTTGCTGCAACCCAGACATTGTATTCTGTTGTTTGACCCTTTCATGCTACTTTTCTTCTCAGGCGAACTGTTGCTCAGGCGGGATCTCCCCATCAGTGTTTCCCAAGTCCCTAGATTTCCCAGGCATCATTTTCAGTTTCATAACATCAGTTACAAAAGATACTTGCCGTGATTTAGATCTTTGTAAATGTGTTAAGACTTGTCTCGTGACTTGGCGTGTGCTTTGACAAGAACGTGCATCCTGTTTGGGGTAAGGCCGTTCCAGGGTGCTGGTCATCATCTATAATTTCCTTATTTTCTCTCTGGATGCCTCCAATGTGGACAGTGGTCTCATGCCACCACCACTACTGCAGCTCTCCTTCCTCTCTGTGCTCCTGCCGCTATTTCTTCAGGGTTCTGATCCTGGGCATATTTCATTCATAATGCTGATGTCCTCGTGAATCCATCCCTTGATGGCCCATCACAGCTTTCCTTGTCTCTCATGCCCAGCCCTGACATTTTGTTCCTGCTAGTGCCACTGGGAGGAGACTCTGTTACTCCTGGAGGTCGTGTTTGGTTTGGTCTGTGCCGGGAGTCAAACCCAGGGCTTTGCACAAACAAGGCAAGAGCTGTGCCACGAGGCCAGGCAGGGCCACCTTCCCAAGCAGATAGAGACCTCCTATGGCACAGAGCGCAGAGCATGAGGGTGTTGACCGGGCTGGCCGTGTCACATGTTGCTCAGAACCTGGCACTGGGGCTGGCTGGTGGAGCCACAAGCAGAGCAAAAGCTGTTCCACAGGTGGAACACAAGACAGGCGGTGCCCGTCTCTGCCCTCCACCCTGCCCAGGGAAGCCCACAGATGAGAAGCGAGAACCCCTGGAGTGCTGCTCACAGGGCCCTGGAGAGCCAGAGCCACAGAGGGCTGGGGGAAGGGCCCCTCTGGCTGGGTGTCTCCCTGGCAGGTCAACAGAATTTACCCCACGACTGCCCCGCAGTACAACTGCCACTGCCTCAACAGAGGCACTGCCCAGGGCAACCTCCTTTCTGGCCACACGCCTCATGTCCGATCACGTGGTCTTGAGTCGGAGTGTGCCCGGGCCCCCCACCTTGTGACCCGAGTCGGGTCCAGGAACGCCAGGGGAGCCTGCGGCGCGCGGCCACTGAGCGGCTCGTTCCCAGCAGGAAAGCTGAGCTGAGCTTCTTATTCTGGTGCCTAACGTGATGGCGCTTGGAGCTCTGCGGTATCAGGGTGGAAGCCAGGCCCAGCGGGCAAGGCCTGTGCTTGGCCCTGCGCCCTTCTTGGTGGTCACTCAGGCCCCTGAGCCATAAGGGAGGGCAGCAGTGTGGCACTGGGCCAGTCTGCATCCTGCAGGGAGCAGCTCCGAATGTCCGCCTGCGTGCTACACACCCACCATCTGTCTCAGAGTGCGGGTGGGGGAGTGCTGTGGCACACAGGGGGCACCACTAGGAGCAGCCCCTTACAGTCAGTTGGCCTCCAAACATCTCCAAGTGTGGGCGACACGGAGCCTCTCGGCTTCAGGCGTTTGCTCCAGGGGCTGGGTGCTGTGGTGGAGTGTGGCATGGCTGGCAGGCACAGAGCAGTGAGGCACACGCCTGCTGGCAGGGCTGGGCTGTGGCCCGAGGTCTGTGTTCAGTGGAAATGCGTGGCCAGAAGGAACGGTGCCAGTGAGGGGGGAGTCACCCCCTTCTCGAAGCCGTACGGCACAGAGCAGCTCCCGGGCACAGAGCAGAGCACTGAAACCAGGGCTCCTGGACCTCAAAGTGCAGAGAAAAGGCCTGTCCAGTTCAGAAAGCACCCAAGTCAGCAGCTCATGGTGCTGGAGCCCCACCCCAAGGCCTGTTCCAGCCAGGAAGGACAGATGCAGCCACATGCTCCACAGTCCCCAGGGACCAGCTCCTGTTCGTGGGGGGAGTCTGACAGATTCCCAGCGGGTGGGACCCCCTGATGAGACAGCCCTGGGCACCTGGTATCAGTCGCCTGTGGGGCCGAAGGGCTGTCACTGTGTCTGAGCCAGATGGCCACTGAGCACCCTGGGTGCAGGCTGCTGGCTCTGTGCTCTCCCGCACCTCCCCAGCCTGCTGACCAAACAGAGGTTCCAGGCGCCACACTGGCTTGGGCATACCCCATCCTCGAGCTGCCCCCCGAGTGCCGTGTGACCTCTCGCCACTCACATCTTCCTGAGTCCACGGCTGAGTGCAGACATAAAGTGGACGTTAAACCAGGCACTTGCCTTGCACTCGGCTGATCCTGGGTCACTCCCTGGTATCGAATGGTCTCCGGAGCTACACTGGGAGTGACCTTGAGCACAGACTCAGGAGTACTGGCGGGCATGACCCAAATTTCACACACACACACACACACACACACACACACACACACACACACACACACGCATACAGCCCACCCTACTCCCCACCCTGCCCCCAATTAGCTATAAGCGGTAAGAAAGCCACCCAGCCAGGAGAAGGGCGGGCCCACGGGATGGACAGGCTGGGCACTGAGGCCCAGAGTGGACGGGCACTGAGGCCCATGGGGAGGACAGGCCGGGTGCTGAGGCCCACAGGGACCAAAGCCAAGAACACCCTGAGGCACTGTAAAGGAGTCCAAAATAGGGAACAGAAAGGTAAAGAGGGAAGAGAAGGAAAGAGCAGGAGGAAGGGAGGGAGGGAGACAAAGGAAAGGGGAGGCACGGGGAAAGGGAGGAAGAGAAAAGAGGACAGGAGAGGGAAGAGGGAGGGGGAGGAGTGGGCACAGGGGAGAGAAGGAAGGAACTGTCCAGCCCGGGCTGCTCTGGCACGGGCACAGCGGGGGAATAGCGACAGGAGCAGAGACATCAGCGGCTCCAGCCAGGCATATGGGGCTAGGAAAGGGGCGTTTATTGGCGCAGCTTGGCCGGACCGTCTCCGTGGGTAGGGCAGGTGCGGCCCAGCAGCTCCCCCCTCCTAGGTGCGGTTGAGAGTCTGGAAGATGCGGGAGATCTGCAGCATGACAGGGCCCGTCTCTGGGTCGTTCATCCACTGGGTGCTGCTCAGCGGGTTCTCCAGCATGTCCTCGAATGCTACGGGCCCATGGCACAGTCAGGCCTGGGAGCTCCCCAGGGCCCCACTTCCCTGTCCCACGTGACAAGACCCTCCCCAGGTCCCCTCAAGCAGCTCTGGGCATCACCACTGGAAAGGCGACTGGCGAGGGCAGCGGCTTCCCTGGCCACAGTGCAGTCAACTTGGGAGGGCAGGAAGCACGCAGGGACAGCCTCATACACGGCCACTCGGCCACTGCCCAGGCGACAGGCAGGCAGGCATTCACAGGCAGATGACAAAGGCAAACAGGAAGGCGCGCGCCAGCAGACAGGCAGACAGGTGGCAGGCCCGTGAGAGCAGAGAAGCAACCCATTGCGGGCCGGCTGAGCTGCAGGGTCTGCCTGGCAGATTCTAGTTAAGGACAGCGAAACCGGGAGAGTCACCCCGCAGGCCGCTGGGGGGGGGGGGGGCGGGCAGGGGCCAAGTGGGGCTTCTAATAGGTGAGCCCTGAGAGCCACACCACGAGGACTCGCGCCAGCCTAGAGGACAGCAGCGGCCACCTATGGCCCCCTGCCAAGCAAAGCTGAGGTCACCAGTGGGCCAGATCTCTGACCTATGCCACGGCAACAGGCTTGGTGTGTCACCAACCACCTTCCGGACGGTGACCTTGGGGTTCCGATGTGACCCAGACCCACAGGGAGGAGGCCCCACAGCTGGTTTCAAGGCCCACCCAGGCCCGCAGCCAAGACCACTGAGGCAGGACAGGAGCGAGCAGGTGCCAGGGCGGCAGGACACACACCTAGGAGCGTTTTGGGGTTGGTCAGACCCAGCTGTACCACGGGGTTGTCCAGGATGGCCTGGAAGAGGGGGCTGTCGGGGTCAATGCCCTTGTCCAGCTCCTCAGGGGACGGCTTCCGGTCGCCCAGCAGCCACTCGCACTGCAGAGGAAGAGCAGGAAAGCGTCACTGTGGGGGAAGCATGGGCCAGAATGACCCGCACATCAGGGCTGACACCTGAGCAGAAGCCACAGGGGCTCTACCTGGCGCTGACAGTGTGCTTATGTCTGGGTGTGTGTGCGTGTCCGTGTGCACACATGTCCATGTGCATGTCTATGTGTGTCCGTGTGTGCATGTGTTCATGTATGTGCATGTCTGTGTGCATGTCTATGTGTGTGTGCATGTTCGTGTGCGCATGTCTGTGTATGTGCATATCCGTGTGTGCCTTATGTATGAGTGTCCATGTGTGCATGCCTGTGTTCGTGTGTGTGCCCATTGTGTGTGCATGTCCACGTGCGTGACCGTGTGTGTACCTGTGTGTGTCCATGTGTATGTGTCTCCCACCACAGGACTCACGGCAGCGCTCTGCTGGTTGTTGTTCACACGCAGGGCGTCTATCACCTCCTTCTCGTCGAATCCCATCTCCATGAGGGAGATGACAGCCTGCAGGGAGAGGTCACTCTGTCCTCGAGGTGCCCATGCGCCCCCCTCTACCTGCCTCCTATGGCCCCACGGTCACGCTGTGGTTGGCTGAAGCCGACCCCCTTGTTCCAGCCCCAGGGCTGCAGGCAGGTCCCTAAGTCGGGAGGGTCATCCTAGGGGCCAGGGGCTGGTCTCCAAGAGGGCTCTGCACGGCTGACCAGCTCAAGCGGCAATTAAGGTGAGCAAAGCTGGAAAAGGGGCCTTTCCCCCAGACTTTACTTTTCAGGAGCTAAAATGAAAGTGAGTAAGGGCCTGAGAGTGCAGGTGAGAGGGCCGGCAGCCCCCTGCTTCATCCCTGCACCTGAGGTCCCGAGAAGACCGGGACAGCCTGGATCTCCCTGCACCAGGCCCTGCTGCGAGGGGCTCCTGAACTCCACCTGGGGGTCCCTGGCGCCTGGGAAACTGTGTGATCCTTTCGTCTCACCTGGCGTGGGAACGTGAGCTCATCTGCAGTCCAGCCTCGAGGACTGGCCAGCGCCCATGCTGCACTCCCTGGTTCCCATGGGACCTTTCTGAGACAAAGTCTATTCCGTGTTTGGTTCTGGGCTATGCTGGTGGCCACCAGGGGCCCATGCGGGTCTGACTGTCCTGCCAGAGCCCCAGTCCTGGCCCTCTGCTTTTTTTCTTGGCTTTTTAAGACAGACTTTAAAGGGGTCACTTTTTAAAAAAATATTGCCTTTGGGTCACACCAATGATGCTCAGGTCTGACTCCTGGCTCTGAGCTCAGGAATCACTCCTGGTGGTGCTCGGGGGACCCTTTGAGTGCCGGGGGTTGAGCCGAAGCATCTGTGTGCAAGGTAAGTGCTCTCCCCACTGTACTTTCGCTCCATCCAAAAGGGTCATCTGACAACAGCAAAAGGGAGAAGGCTTTCCATTTTCCAGGGCTTCTCTGAATGCGTCCAAGGTCAAGCCCCCGTCCTTGCCCTGACCCTGGTCTGGCAGTCACCACTGTGGGCAGCTCATCCGCACAGCTAGGACCTAGGAGGCCACAGACTCGGCAGTGACTGGACACCCAGATGTGCCCAAGAGGACAGGGACGGGTAGGCAGACTCCTGGGCACCGAGGTGACACAAGAGCCTCCCCTCTGTGGGACCTACTTTCTCTGTCCCTGTCACCTCTCCTGGCACACACCCCCCCCCCACACACACACACACAGACTGTGGCGCACAACTCAAACACCAAAATCACATGCCACAGAGCCAGGGAGGGGGCTTCAGTGGCAAGGCACCATGGCTTGGCCTCCAGTATCCCCAATGCATGGAGCGTGACTCCAGCACCCTCCGGTTTGGGTCCCTGATGCCTCAGCAACACGTGGACATGCGTGGCCAACAGCAAGGTGAGCACAGTCAGGGTACAGCCGTGGCAAGCGGCCACCAGCACCGCCTTCAGGAAGCACGGAGGGGAGACATAAGTTCCTGAGAACCTCTGATTCCAGATAAACCGGTCGATCCCACGGACAGAGCACCGCTGAGCTCAAAGGAAAGACAAGACCATGCCATCTGCCACAGCCAGACAGTATCACGAGCATGCCAGGAGGGGGCAGGCTCAGAAGGGCGTCTTCCAGGTGGGACAGACTGACTCATGGATGGAGGCGGCAGGGGTGTTACACAGGAACTTGTTGCCATCAGGGCTGTAAACACGGTGCCCAGAATGACAGGGTCAAGGACACGCTGAAGCTAGAATGAAACTCAGCGATGAAGCCCCAGAGGCCAGCGCCCGCCATGCCCCGGGCCAGGGCCAGGCTGGCTCCCAGGGAGAGGCGGCTGGGCAGCCCCCGAGGTCCCAGCCCATCTGTGGCTAGCAGGGGCCAGAGTCAGGTCAGAGCAGTTTCCCATCAGCTTCCACAGTGATGGGCTGAGACTACAGGGCAGCCCCAGTGCTCAGCCCACATGGACCTGGCTGGACCCTCTTCCTGGACACTCCTCGAGTGGAAAAGTTGGAGAGAAGAGAGGAAGGGGTGAAGCAGACCCGCCCAGGGCACCAGAGGGCCAGACACCAGCCTACGGCCTGGACGAGGCCCAGAGTCCCACCTGCGAGCCTGCACAGTGCTGGGGCAGCCTCAGTCTCCATGGGTGGGTGCCCTCTCTCAGAGGCCAGAGTCTGGAAAATACCAGAAAACCTGCCCTGGCTGGTGGGCCAACGTCAGAACCCAGCTCTGTAAGACCCCTCGGGACTCCAGCCCACAGCTGAACCTGAGGCAAACCACGTGGCAAGAGAACAGCCCCGGCAGCCTGAGCTTTGACTTGGGAGGAAGCACTCCACCGGGAAAGGCCACAGACCCTGGATGAGGCAAAGGTGCCTCAAGCAAGGCCCAGTACAGGATGGCAGGTGCCAAGGATCCTGACAGAAACCCAAGTACTATCTCAGGAGAGGCGATGCCAGGCCTTGGCAGACTAGAATAAGTACAGGTCAAGGGCAGGTCCAGAACAAGTCTGGGGGGCTGGAGAAATGGACAGAGACGAAGGCGCATCCCTCGCACATGGAGAACCCAGGTTTGACCCCCAGCATCCCCTACAGTCCCCTGGCACTGACGGGGTAGCCCTAACCATTGGTGAATGTGGCCCAAAGCAAGCAGGAAAGTGGGGACTGGGGTCTTCAGCAGCAAAGAGGCTCCAGCCTCTCTGGAGGGTGCAGGTCCTCCAAACAAGCCCCCGGAGCAGGGCAGTGAGGAGGTTCCTGGATGCTCACTCACGCGCCCTAGCGTGAAGGACCCTCAGCCCTCGCCCGGCCCCGCACGGCCCTCACCCGGCCGTCGGCCCGGAACTCCCTTTTCCTCCGGATCTTCTTGAAGACTTCCGTCAGCTCGTCTCTGGCCTCCTCGTTACTCTCACCGGTCCCGGCGGCTGCCTGGGACGTGGAGGGGCCCTCGGCCTCGGCCGTGGCTGGCGCAGTGTGCCCCGGGAGGGGGGCATCAATGCTGGGGTCCTCTGCATGCTCGATGAGCCACTCCATGGCCTGTGGCACCGACATGCTGAAAGGCAGTGCCCCCACTCAGGCCCCTCCCCCTCCCACTCAGGCCCCACCCCAGGCCCCACGGCGCCCCCACCCATACTGGTTCAGCCGCAGGGCCTTCGCCGCCCTGCTCTCTGGAAAGCCCATTTCGGTCAGCTGCCGCAGGGCCGCCTCGTCCACCCGCTCGTCCTCATCCTCGTCCAGCATTGCTGTGGGTGAGAAAAAGGCCTGAGGCCCTGCCGGCTGGGCACAAGCAGCTCCCAGCAGCCCCAGCTGGCATCCTACCATTCGCCTTCCGGAACAACTCCACTGCGTCTGGGTTCAGCGCCAGCAGCCGCTGCGCCACTTCGATGAGCGACACCAGGATCTTGCGGAGCTCGGTCTGGAACTACAAGCAAGAGAGGCCAGTGGGCACGGGAGGAACACACTCGGGGGGGGGTGGGGGTGGGGGCCAGCTGCCAAGGGGCCTTGGAGCCCCAGGCATGGGACCAGGACCACCCCACCAGTGCCACGGACACAAGGAAAGGCGGGCAGCACAAGGGCAGCCTCAGGCTACAGGGAAGGCCGCTCCCTGGCCACTCCGGCCCCTCTGTCCCTGTCCCTCTGTCCCTGCCCTCTCCCTGCCCCTCTCTCCCTGTCCCTCTGTCCCTGGCCCACTGCTTCTATGTTTTAGGGTATTTTTTTTTTTGGCCTGGAGGCCACACGTGGCAGTGCTCAGGGTTTATTCCTAGCTCTGTGCTCAAGGGTCACTCCAGGTGGCTCTGGGGACCAGGAGATGCCAGGGGTTGAACCGGGAAGATGCATGCAAAGCAAGTGCCCTGCCCACTGTGCTACCTCTCCAGCCCTGCTGCGTCTACTCTGAAAGGATTCCAGGCCTACAAGGCCCGTGGCAAACCCGGGGTCCCCCCGAAGCCTTCCCAGGGCCCCGGAATGCCGGGCACTCACGTCCCTCATGCCGGTCTGGGCGGCCGCCCGCTCCAGGTTGTGCGAGGGCAGGTTGGCGGTGGCACGCATCACTGCGTCTCGGTCGGGGGCTTTCTGCTCTTGCTTTCTCTACAGAGAAAGTCCACAACGGGATCAACGTTCAAGGCTGGGAGCCAGGCCACGCGCCCTGAGCCCCTGCACTGGCGTGGGAAAGAGCATGCTTCCTCAGGAGCTAGGGTCGCAGACTCTGGAGGTTCTGCTCCTTGCCCCAGAAGCTTCTGTGTGCAGGGAGGCATCTGTGGAGGGGTCATGCACTGTGACAGCAACAGGAACTCTGGGAACAGGGCAGGGACACAAGGACAGATGCTGTGGACAGAGGAAAGCAGGAAGAAGGGCAGGGATGCGGCCAAGATGCAGCAGAAACGGGGACGGGGAGCAGAGATGGGGGACAGAGGGACAGTAGGGATGGAAGGACAGGGACCATGGAGATGAGGGACAGAGGGACAGTGGAGATGGGGGACATGACAGTGAAGATGGGACAGAGGGACAGTGGAGATGGGGGACAGGGACAGCAGGAGACGGGTCGCGGCCAGAGCCAAGTCCTCACTGTGGGGCAGAACGCAGAGGTGAGGCAGCACCAGGCCTGGTGAGCCCGGAGCCCCTTGAGGGGGCCTGGCTGGGAAGAAAAGACCCCACAGCGCTCACTTCCAGGCCGCAGGAGGCCTGGGGCGCACCAGGATGGACAGACAGAATGGCAGAGCCCATGGCAGGGACAGTGGGAAAGAATCCCTGATGGACAGCAGGTCGGAGCGGCCGGGCCGGGCCCACTGCAGAGCAGGAGGCCGGCAAGCACAGCCAGCCAACCTGGCCCGCGGCCCTCCCTCCAAAAAGCCGCTGCCCTGGAGTGGGAGAACCGGGCTGGACAGAATGCCAGAGGGGAAGCAGCCCAGCACCAGCACAGCACAACATCACCTCAGGGCGACGGCACGGGGCTGCACGGGGGCTGGCAGGGGGAACGCGGAACCCTCAGGAGGCACAGACGGCCCGAGGCCCTCAGCACGGCAGACTCACGCTCCCAGGGATGCCCGCCCACCCCCACCCCGCAGCAACCCTGCTCCTCACTCCACTACACTGGGAGTGAAAACCGCCCCCGGGACTGCAGTGAGTAGAGCTGTACTGGCCAGCAGGCGCGGCAGGAGACGCAGGCCTGGCCCCTCCCACATGTCCCTCTCACTCAGGGGAACTCGGGCCCTGGGCGCTGTCCTATCAGTCGGCTCAGCTGCCCGCATGCAGCGGCCGTGGGATGTGGGCAGGCCAGGTGTGGTGACAGATAAAGACCTCACAGCTGAAGGCCTCATCCTGCATGCCTGTACTGGGCTGGACCCTCCCGCTGCCAGGTTTGATGTCTGTGTAGGTCACGTTCTCGGGGGAGCGCCCTCAAAATTCAGTCCCAGAGAGAACCTGCTCTCCCCACCCCGAAAAGCAACAGGAGAAATGGCCGTGAGAGGGCCGAGGCCGGGCCGAGCCCAGCACAAGCCCACGCACACAGGCCCGGCCCAGCCCCACGCACACAGGCACAGGTTCCTCCCACAGCCTAGAGCACAGCCTCGGAAGGCAGAACGGGAAACCTGCAGGGACAGCCGCTGCTCTTCCAGATCTGACGAGGCCACAACACAGACCTCTCAGGGGACAGCGACAGGTGACGCCACAACTCTCACGGGTGGCAAAGTCTGACAGGTGCAGGTGCAGTCACATGACGGGGGCAGAGCCGCAGGCCCCCATGGCACCCACCTTCTCCTCTGCGGACACATCAGCCATCTTCGGGAGCGGGGCAGGAGAGCGCTTCCTGATGAGCAGCAGGACATCTAGAAAGGACACGCAGCAGCCGCTCTGAGCGTCCCCGACAAGGTGCCAGCCCGCCCAGCACAGCCCCAGAGACGGCAACCGACGGGCGCTGACGGCCCAGTGGCCGGTGATGGGTGCTGACCAGCTGGGCCTTACTCTAGCTTGGAAGCAAACTAAAGACAAAGGCCCATCTGAGGCGTCCCTCAGGTGCCAAGCCGACGCTTCCTGGTGCTGCCAGTTTTTCATTTCTTTTTGGCTTTTTGGGTCACACCTGGCAATGCTCAGAGGTTGACCTGTTTCTGCACTCAGGAATCACTCCTGGTGGTGCTTGGGGAACACAGAGGGAACATATGGGATGCCGGGCATGGAACCTGGGTCGGCCACGTGCAAGGTAAACGCCCTCCTTGCTGCACTATGGCTCCGGCCCCTCTGCCAGTTTTTTAAAACATTCCACATGCTTCTTTGGTTGGGTTTTGGGCCGCATCACACAGTGCTCAGGGGTCACTCCCAGCAACGCTCAGGTGACCCCGTGTGGTATCCGGGATTGAGCACACGGGAGGTGAGTATGTGCTGTTTGTCAGTCCAGCGGTGGCGTGAGGGTCAGTTGTGATCAGGTGGGAGCTAGACCCTCAGTCCTGAGGGAAACGCTGCCACCCTCTCCTCCCCCTTGGGCTGCATCCCAGGCCCTACCAGCCCTACCATTGTCTTGGATGTTCTCCTCCAGGAGTGTCTTGGGGTCACTCAGCACCCTCTCGGAAGCAGCGTGGATTAGTTTGTGATGGGCCACACTTTTGGGGTCTTCTAAGCACCCAGGTGCACACTGAGGGAAAAAACACGTTTCAGAAAGAAACCTTAGTGACGACCTTTGGGGCCCGGCACAGAGCCGCTCAGAGCCACTCGTTCTCTGGGTACCCGAGAAGCTCAGGAATACATGAAACCGTACTGAGCTCCCCTCTGGGAAGAGACACCAACCAGAGCCACGATCCTGTGCCCCAAAGCTGGAACCACCACCGGTGCCCCTGCAGGCCCGGGTCAGATCCTCAGTGGAGCGAACAGCGGGGACCGCCCCAACCTGAAGAGCCAGCCGCCCTGGCCCCCCACTTCCAGCACCAGGAGTGCCATGCATACCCCACAGCCTGGACATGACCACTGTCCCCGCAAACTGATAGCCAGGGACACGGGGCACCGCCAGCCACATGCCCAGTCATGCAGTCAGAGGCTGTGACAGTGTGAGCAAAGGCTGGGGCCCGTGTGCACGCACCACGCACACACATCAGTCACCCCCAAGAGAGCAGAGCCTGGCGGGCTGGGCGGGGGCACGCACTGTCACCCTCCAACCCCGGAGCCGGGGGCCGCTCCACAGAAGAGAGACTCGACAGACCGCCTGGCTCTGTCCTTGCTGGCACTGTCCCTGAAGACGCCGCCCTGCTCCGGGATGACCCCATGGCAGAGCCAGGCCACCTCAGCAGTTCCCGGGCAGCCCAGACCCCCACACCTCAAGGGGCTTGGCCAGCCAGGCCTCCGGTACCCAAGGCATTCCCCTGTCCGACTGGAGGTGTCCCCAGGAAAGGTGGCACCAGCCAGGGTCGAGAGGATTTTCTCTAAGTCACTGTGAGGTCCACTTTAGAATGGCTCCTGACCGGGCCCAGCACACAGTGTCCCGGCACGCTGCCCGCCCACCTGTCTCTGTGGCAGACCCGGTCTCCCTCTTACTTTCCTCTGGCACCGTTTGCGATGCTGCTAATGAGAGGTGCCGTGCACAGCCCCACTCCTCCCAGTACCTAGTGCTGTCCGGGGTGCTTGCCCTGACTCCCACTGCCACACGGTCCTTCTCTGTCCTACTGCACCCCCACCCCTTTGTGCCGCTTCCTACTACGACCGTCCTCCTGGCCCTCGTCTCTACTGTCCCTGGCCTTATCCCGGCCCGTTATTTTAAGACCAGCGATCGACAGTCTTCTTGATTAGAGAGGGGGGAGGGCAGGGTACCCGGGCCCCCAGCAGCCTGAGAAGCAAGAAGCTGGCCAGCAGGGCCAGGGGGCAGCAGGGAACAGAGGAGGCAAGGCAGTCTGGGCTCTGGGGGAGAGGGAGTGACGGCAGGTCCAGGATCCAAGAACTCAAACAGCCTGCTGTCCGCGCAACAGGGGCATGCTATCTACCCAACACGGACGTGCTGGTCACTCTGTCCACCCAACAGGGTCAGCTGTCCACCTAAGAGGAGCATGCTGGTCACTTTTGTCCACTCAACAGGGGTGTGCTGGTCACCCCTGTCCACACTGCCATGCCTGCTGTCCGCCCAGAGGGGGGCCTGTTATGCCCAACAGGGGCTGCTGTCCACAGAGCAAGGGGCGGGGCTTTCTCTCAGGTGGGGCGGGAGGTCCCGCTGCAGGTGCTCCATGGCCAGGACCTGCTGCAGGGACACGGTCATGAGCGTCACCCCAGAGTGATCTGCGGCCCTAGGCCTGCATCTGTCTGCCCCGCCTAGACAGGGTGAGGGGGCTCCTAGCTGAGGGGGCGCGGGCAGCTCCTGCAGGCCCCCGCCTGGCCCGCGAGGACAGACAGCATGTCCCAGTCCCCTTCCCAGGCAGCCCTGCCCCCTGCAATATCGGTCCCCAAGGCCCACCTGGGTCTGCTCAGAAAGCGGAGGACATATAATCCAGAGAATGGACAGCAGCTGGGGCCCTCCCTGCCACCAAGAGGCCAGGCCACCACCCTAAGTCTTAGCTGGGCAGAGCAGCACCAAAAAGCTCTTGGCCTGCTATTACAGTCACAAAACAGCCCTCCAGCACTCTCACCCCCCACTTGGGTACGTAGAAGTCCACACCCCGCACTCAGGGACCCCAGGTCACTTCCCCCTGCACTTGGGGACCCGGAGATCCACTCCCCCACACTCAGGGACCCGGAGGTCCACTGTCCCGCACTCGGGGACCTGGAGGTCCACTGCCCCGCACTCGGGGACCCCGAGCCCACTCCCCCGCACTTGGGGACCCGGAGGTCCACTGCCCCGTACTCGGGGATCCGGAGGTCCACTGCCCGGCACTAGGGGATCCCAAGGCCCACTGCCCCGCACTCGGGGACCCCGAGGCCCACTGCCCCGCACTCGGGAACCCGGAGGCCCACTGCCCCACACTCGGGGATCCCAAGGCCCACTGCCCCGCACTCGGGGACCCCGAGGCCCACTGCCCCGCACTCGGGTGCCTGACCCCGAGAACTCTGAGCAGCGTTTCTCGGCCTCCGTGGGTGCCAAGGACATGCACTGTTTGTGAAAACAGGGTCCAGGGGCCCCGCGAGAGTCCGGGCCGGCCCCCGCCCCGGCCTTACGTGCTGCAGGCAGCGCTCCTTGAGCTGCTCCACCAACGTGTCCTCGGCCGCCTCCTCCCGCCACTCGGCGCCGTCGGCGGCGCAGATGAGCAGCCGCAGCGCGGGGCCCGCGAAGATCTTCTCCTCCTGCACAAACATCGCGCCGCAGCCGCCCGCCGCGCCCGCCGCCGGCTCTGAAGGTCACCGGGGCGGGGCGGGGGCGGGGCCGGACCTCGCGCACCGCCTCGCTGGCCGCCGCCCCGCCCCGGCCCTGCCGGCCGCCCGTCAGCCCGAGCGGTCGCCGCGCGCCGCCGCCGCCGCCGCGCCGGAAGTGCGTCACGCGGGCGCCCGGGGCAGGCCGGGAATCGTGGTTCCCGAGGCCGCCGCGCCGGAAGTGCGTCATGCGGGCGCCCGGGGCAGGCCGGGAATCGTAGTCCTATGACCTCCCCGCCTTCGCGCGCCGGCCGCGGAACTGCGGTCTCGGGGGCAGGTGCGAGCGGGACGACTCGGGAGACAGTGTCGCAGAGCCGCACCAGGGCCCCGCCAAGTGGCTGCGGGCGGCTCGCGGGATCGGGCGGCGCCCCCTACCGCGGCCTGCTGACGCGCCGCCGAGCGCTCGGCCGGACTCCGCCCGGGGACGGGGAGCCCAGCCGGCCGTGGCCGCTAGGGGGCGGCGGCGAGCCGCGGCGCTGCGAGCCCGGCAGGCCCCGGGCAGCGGTGGACTCCCCGGCGTGGAGGTGACAGTGTCGCCGAGCTCCCGTCCCGGGTGTCCCGCCCGGTGACCCCCAGGCCCCGCCCGCCCCGCGCTCCCGACTGTCTCTGCAGACCGCGGGGGCAGGTCAGCGGACGGTGCCCCGGGGACACCGCCCGGCCAGCGTGCTCCGGAGACCAGCTAGCCATCATACTCAGGGGCCCCACGGGGCAGTCCCCCCACCCGTGACAACCTCCCCCTGAGTCCCCGCTGCCCACTTAACCCCAGGCCCCGCCAGGCCCGGCCCGTGCGTATTCCTGCGCCGCCAGTGCTGGGAAGGACGGGCTGCTTACTGCATCCTCAAGTTGGGAGGGCTCGACCCAGACTTGCCCGGTGCCAGAGTCGGTCCTGCCCCTCTTGGAGAGCAGAGACGGTGGCAGCCCAGAGCAGAGGGCGGGGCGAGCCGCCAGCAACTGCCCTGCACACGGCCACGGGCTGCCAGCAGGACGCGGGGCGCTCTTGGTGCGGGGAGCGGGGTGGGCAGGCTCCGGGACCCCCGCACCCTCCCTGCAGCCTGCGCCGCTGGCCCCCCGCACCCCCTCGTCTCGTCTCCCTGATGCTGGCCGCTGCTGGGCGGTGGAGAGCGCGACCTGCCCTGTACTAGGCGCTCTGGGCCGCTCGGGGTGGGCATCGAGGCCACTCCCCAGGGCTGGCCACGGCGGAGCCACGGCCTCTGCCTGTCCCTGGAGTCGGGAAACCAGGCGCTCTGGCCAGCGGCTTGGTTTAGGGCATGGTGAGCAGTGGGGATACGCAGACGCCCACCTCCCGCCCAGCCCCCACCCCCAGTGGGAACTGCCGAGGGAGGACGGGCCTGCAGTGTCCCAGGCTCCGGGTCTGCTCTTCCCGGGGTGCAGCCAGGACCGCAGCAGGACCCCTGGACACTCAGGTCGCCCAGCCCTGACCCTCCAGCTGCACTGCTGCCCGGGTGGCCACACTGGCAGGCTGAGGAGTGGGCACGGGCACCGGGCTTGGCCCTCGGGGACTCGCTTCTCCCCTCTGGACATGCGCCTTCCACGCTGTCCCCGGGCCTGGCTCCATCAGGGACCCTCCCTGGGGCTCTGGATTAGTCCCGTGTCTGAAGCCCTGAGCGAGGTCTGGCCCCCGGCACGTGGATGGACTCAGTGGCTCCACGCCTCTCGTGGACGCAGGTCACTGCTGCTCACGTGGTGGCTGGTTTGGTCACAGCCACGATGCAGGGTGCGATGTAAGACATGCTCAGACATGTCCGAGCTGATGGGGGTTTCTGGGTTGAGGGGCTGAGGGGTGTCTGGGCTGAGGGGTCTCCTGGCTGAGGGGTGTCTGGGCTGAGGGGTCTCCTGGCTGAGGGGTGTCTGGGCTGAGGGGTCTCCTGGCTGAGGGGTGTCTGGGTTGAGGGGTGTCCAGGTCCAGGCTGAGGGGTGTCTGGGCTGAGGGGTGTCTGGGCTGAGGAGTGTCTGGGCTGAGAGGTGTCCGGGCTGAGGGGTGTCTGGGTTGATGGGTGTCTGGGCTGAGGGGTTTCCTGGCTGAGGGGTGTCTGGGCTGAGGGGACTCCTGGCTGAGGGGTGTCTGGGCTGAGGGGTGTCTGGGCTGAGGGGGTCTCCTGGCTGAGGAGCGTCTGAGCTGAGGGGTGTCTTGGCTGAGGGGTGGGCGTCTGAGCTGAGGGGTGTCTTGGCTGAGGGGTGGGTGTCTAAGCTGAGGGGTGTCTGGGTTGAGGGGTGTCTGAGCAAAGCGCTGTCTGGGCTAGGGGTTTCTGGGCAGAGGGGTCTTCTGACTGAGGGGTTTCCTAGCTACGGAGTGTCTGGCTAAGGGGTGACCTGGCTGAGGGTGTTTCTGGGCTGAGGGGTGCTGGGCTCTGGTGTGTCTGGGCTGAGTGATGTCTTGGCTGAGGATTCTCCTGGCTGAGGGGTCTCCTGGCGCATGGGGTGACTGGGCTGAGGGGTCTCCTGGCTGAGGGGTCTCCTGGCTGAGGCGTGTCTGGGCTGAGGGGTCTCTTGGCTGAGGGATCTCCTTGCTGACGAAGTGTCTTGGCTTAGAAGTATCTGGGCTGAGGGGTCTCCTGGCCGAGGTATCTCCTGTTTGAGGGGTGTCTGGGTTGAGGGGTCTCTGGCTGAGGGGTGTCTGGTCTGAGGGGTGTCTGGGCTGAGGGGTATCTGGGCTGAGGATTCTCCTGGCTGAGGGGTGTCTGGGCTGAGGGGAGTCTGTGCTGAGGAGTCTCCTGGCTGAGGGGTCTCCTGGCTGAGGGGTGTCAGGGCTGAGGGGTATCTGGGCTGAGGATTCTCCTGGCTGCGGGGTGTCTGGGCTGACAGGTGTCTGGGCTGAGGGTGTGTCTGGGCTGAGGGTATGTCTGGGCTGAGGGGTCTCCTGGCTGAGGGGTCTCCTGGCTATGGGGTGTCTGGGCTGAGGGGGTGTCTGGGCTGAGGGGTCTCCTGGCTGAGGGGTCTCCTGGCTGTGGGGTATCTGGGTTGAGGGGGTTTCTGGGCTGAGGGTTCTCCTGGCTGAGGGGTGTCTTGGCTGAGGGGTCTCTTGGCTGAGGGGTCTCTTGGCTGAGGGGTCTCCCTGACTGAGAGGTGTCTGGGCTGAGGGTTCTCCTGGCTGAGGGGTCTCCTGGCTGAGGGGTGTCTGGCCTGAGGGGTTTATGGGCTGAGGGCTCTCCTGCCTGAGGGGTCTCCCTGGCTGAGGGGTGTCTGGGCTGAGGGGTCTCCTGGCTGTGTTGTCTCCTGGCTGAGGGGGTGTCTGGGCTGAGGGGTTTATGGGCTGAGGGGTCCTCTGGCTGAGGGGTCTCCTGGCTGAGGGGTGTCTGAGATGAGGGGTGTCTCGGCTGAGGGGTTTATGGGCTCAGGGCTCTCCTGGCTGAAGGGTCTCCCTAGCTGAGGGGTCTCCTGGCTGCCGGGTCTTCTGACTGAGGGGTTTCTGGGCTGTGGGGTCTCCTGGCTAGGGGTGTCTGGGCTGAGGGGTGTCTGGGCTGACGGGGGTCTGGGCTGAGGGGGTGTCCGGGCTGAGGGGTCTCCTGGCCGAGGGGTCTCCTGGCTGAGGGGGTGTCTGGGCTAGGGGGTGTCTGGGCGGAGGGTTCTCCTGACTGAAGGGTCTCCTGACTGAGAGGTGTTTGGGCAGAGGGGTGTCTGGGCTGAGGGGTCACCTGGCTGTGAGGTGTCTGGGCTAAGGGGTCTCCTGGCTGAGTGGTCTCCTGGCTGAGGGTGTGTCTTGGCTGAGGGGTGTCTGGGCTGAGAGGGTGTGCTGGCTGAGGGGTGTCCAGGATACATGTTGCGTCTGGTCTCGGGGCACACCACACCGTGTTGCACCCCACAGCGTCCCTGTTTCCAGCCCTTGTCCTGCACCCACACCTTCATCACTCTCTCCTCCATGATGAACTGGAACCCTCTGACCTAACCTGACTTGTCCAGTCCAGGGTCTGGTGCCTGTGGTCAGAAGAGACAGGCTCGTTGCGGGGGAGGCTGCCTAGAGCCCTGAGGCAGCACCAGGGGCCAGGCTGTGGGTGGGGGAGCTCCAGGCTCTTCAGTGCTTTGCTACAGGCCCCAGAGGCGCGGAGTCCCGGACAGGAAACTGTGGTGCTTCTGGGAATCTGGGGCAGAGCAACTTCCTTGCTGAATATTTCATGATTTACATTAATGACTTTAGATGTTTCCAAAACAAAACTGCCCACATGGTGGGGGGTTCACTGTGGTTCCGGCCATTGCCCCTGAGAGGAGCAGCTGAGGGAGCCAAGTGAGCTCCCCTCGGGTCGACTGTGGCCAAGGACAGGTGACCCAGCTGCTCTTCCACAGGCTGCCTCCTCAGAGGAGGGGCAGGGTAGCCCCCAGTCACCCTGAGGGGTTCAGGGCTGTGACTCCCCACAGGTGTGGCCTTTCCGGAGGCATCTCAGCACCCTCAGCTGCTCTGGGGTGACCGTCCCCTGTGGCGGTTCTGGAGTCTCTCAGACAGCTGGTAGCACCGCCCTGGACAGTGGGTGGCGGAGTGTCTCAGGGCAAGCCTAATACCCGGGCTGCCGACCCCTCCATCCACTGTACCCCACATCCACATCTGCCCCCAGAGGGGACAGGAAGACAGGCAGGCTAAAGGGGACCCAGGAGTGGGGGGCTGTCCATGCCTGCCCTGCCAGGAGCCCACAGACCCTCTCTGGGTGCCCCCTCTGCGCAAGGCTGGCGGCCTTCCCCAGGACCTGAGGCCTTGGCTGTCCCGAGTCCCGGGGGACAGAGATGGGCACAGTCCCCACAGGGATTGGGGGGGGGGGGAACAGCTCTCGGGGCAGAGGCAGCTGCTGTCCTGATTCATACGCCAGACCCCGTGGTCCTTCAGACGAATGAAAATCTTCACTGGAGAGTTGCGATGGTTTATTGTCGGGCAGAGTTGCGATGGTTTATTGTCAGCCAGTGGCCACAACCTGACCACGGGGGCCAGGCTGGGAACTGAGTCTATTCTCCAGCCTTCCGGCCCGTTCCCATCACCCCGCTCTCACTTATGATGCACAACTCTACCTTCTGCCATTTTTGAGACTTGGGGATCATGTTCTCAGTTAGTTGTGACCTTCTCT